TTTGGAAGTTGGAAACAAGGAATGGAAAAAGCTGGGGAAGAAGAGGAAGAATATCCCAGGATGAGGAGCTAAGGTGGCTCCATGGAGCTGTGGCTCAGGTTGGCCATGCCATGGGAAGTGGCTCCAGGCTGGGCTTTTTTAGGCTCAGTTTCCCATAGTTTTGGGAATGGATTACAGGGGTTCTGTTGAGTGCAGGAAAGGCTTCCTGGAGCAGAGTTTGGCTTAGACGAAACACAACCACCAGTGGATCTGCGCTCCCTAGAGAAGAAAGCTACAGTAACAGAGTTCCCAGTACGTAGCAAAGTTCAACCAGAACCAAGAGAACTGTGTAAGTTCAGTAGTAGGACACAAATATTTGGTGCCAGGAGTAATCAATCACTGTCCTCTGCGAGATGCTTTGGGTGAAAAYGAGAGTTAATTCCAGGTGGTGCAACAGCCTTTGTCACCCCTGAACTGTCTCCAGCCCCAGACGCTAATGGGCTCCAGTGTCTCACATCTTCAGTGTGAGGGATGAACCCACATCTATTTAAGGACACTTTGGGGACATTTGGGTGACAAGGAGCCCCCTGTGCTTTAGTCCAGCATCCCCTTTCCTGCGGGTTTGACACTCCRTGGTGGCTACCCAGCCCTAAAGTGACATTGAAGGAGGCTTCAGCCCCATGGTCCCTTCTCCTGAGAGAACTGCTCCCAGGGAAGAACTGTGCCTCACGGCATGTGTGAGGAAGCAAAAGTTGGCAGAAATATCCATCAGCATTGAACAGGCAAAAGTGCCCTGTTAGGCGCTCTCCTGGGTGGTGTTTCCTGAGGAGATAATAGCCTTGGAAGAAGGACTTGCTGTTTTGAAGAAGATTAAGTACCTGTGGCAGCAGCATGTGGATGAATCACAACCCTCATGGGCTTAGAGCCCCTGGAAATGGCACTTTGAAAACAATGTCATGAATCTTCTGCAGATCAGATTAGGGAGTGGAACAATTATCTCAAAACCTGTTAGTCATGGGAGGCTCCAGGAGCTGGAGGAACAGCCTAAGGCAAGGGGAGCACTAGGAAGATGTGGTGTGTGTGTCCCCCCTCCCAGGGACCTGCTTGAGCAGCCCCAGGAAGGGTGTGGGAGGTGGCTGTGGTTGAACCAGCCCCGCTTCCCCTGTAAAAGGTGATCTGTAATTAGCAAAACGGGTATGGAAGAGCTCAAGTAGGTCAAAAGGTAATGGGGCTATCACTGGCATTTCCCAACAGCACAGCAGGGCTGGGAGACACCCTCAGGGTTGGGCAATGGGCAGATGAACAAGGGAATAGCCATCAAAGTCACCCTGACTGCATACCAGCCTTTTGGAAGAAAGCTGGCGGAACGGTCAGAGCCAGCAAACAGCGCTGCTGGTCCAGCCCTGCCACACTGGACCTGTGGTGAGAGCACCCATGGAAAGCCCTGGCTGGTGTGACAAAGAGCACCGTGGCTATCTACAAACCCATCTTGAGGTGTCCCACAAGAAGGGCATCCTGAGACCATGTGTGAGGAGATCTAGTAGGGATGGATGGATGGATGGATGGATGGATGGATGGATGGATGGATGGATGGATGGATGGATGGATGGATGGATGGATGGATGGATGGATGGACATCCAACCCAGCTCTCAAGGGGTTGTGGGAATTCATGTTGCAATTTGGGAATGGCTACATCTACCCTCTGTGAAATGTCGTCATGGGTACAGACTACATATTCTGGCTGTCCCTGCAAAGCACCTTATCCCTGACCTGCTCCTGTGCATGCTCCAGCACCTCTGCCTTGGCCAGTGCAGCAAGGGATGTTCTCTCATGGAAAACAACCTTTCTCCAACAGGATTTTTCAAACCCCAGTGATGTGTGATGAKGTTTAACTGGATCCACTTCAGAGCCCAAGTTCCCTGAGGCTCTGCCTTGCGGCCACCTCTATTATTTTCATCAACTTCAGTAGCCCAGGGCCGCAAGCAAGCAGATTCCTGTGGCAGAGCCCGCGGCCATGCTGTTGGGAGCATCCCTCCTCCTCCTCTACCTTGCTGGCATTCCCAACATTCCCCTGAGCACTTCGAACTCAGCCGGGTGACACCACCACACCCCAGCCAAACCACCCCAGCCTGTTTGGTGCTGTACTTTCTGCAGTGCTGCCGTTGCCATCCCCACTGATGAAATGTGTTTTTCTGACAGTACCAGGGAGGCTGTTTCCAATAAGAATGGCACAGGCATCCTTGGCACATGCCCCCACCACGACAGGGCTCATGGGGTCTGATGGGGTGGCCGATGCTGACGGCAGCAGAGCTGGCAAAGCCTGGTTTCACCAGGAAGGGAGAGCGGTGTTGATGTTGGCACGCGAGAGCCCACGCGGAGAGTGCTGAGGGTCAGGCCCACGGCAGGGACGCACGAAGGATCACTGAGTACGGAGACTTGGTGAAATATTAAAGMAGGTGCTTAATAAAGCGAGCCCAGCGGCAGCAATTACCCTGTGTAATTAACCTGGGAAGGAGAGGACTTTGCCCCCCAGCCAGGTGGTGCAGGGAGCTCCCGCCAGCAGCCTCTGGAGGTGGCATGGACCTGGCACCCGGCGCTGCACGGCAGGGCTTCCCCAAGCTTCATTGGGGCAAGCCAGGACCTGACCTTCCAGCATGGCTCACCCTGCTGCAGCCCCAGAGTAACACCAGGTAGGTGAGTCAGAGTGCTGCCCACTCTGGGTGCTGAGAAATGGTTTGGGATACCCCCGGACTCATTGGCCCCAAGTCAGAGGGAGCAGCTGGGAGAGACTCACACCTCACCTGCCTGCTCTGGGCACTGAGGAACTGACCGTGGCCAATGCACCGGGACCCAGCTGGCCCAGTGSCCATACAGTGCTCACCCAGCAAGGCCTGAGGGCAGCACCCTGTGCAGGGAGATCCAATCGAGGGGTGGTCCTGGCGGTGGCCATGCCCTGTGCTCCCCTTGTCCCAGTGGGGTGTAGGTGCTGGTGGCACTGGTTCTGGCTTGGGCAGCCTCCCTCCTGCTAAGCCACCCTGGATGCAATGCCAGTTCCTGCCAGGAAGCTCTGCTGGATGGGCACTGAGCCAGGCTGTGCTGGGCCAAACCAAGCCGAGCTGAGCTGGACTGAGCTGAGCTGAGCTGAACCAAGCTAAGCTAAACCGTGCTTACCTAGGTGGCACAACGTCCCCAAGCTGTACTGAACAAAGCTGAGCCGAGCTGTGCCGAACCAAGCTGAGCTGAGCTGTGTCACAGGTGCTGCAGCGTCACAARCCATACTGAACCGAGTTGAGCCGTGCTGGACTGAGACGAGCTGAGCTGTGTCAAACTGAGCTGAGCTGAGTCAAGCTGAGCTATGCCTACCTAGGTGGCATGATATTCTAAACTGTGCTGAGCTGAGTCATGCTGAGCCATACCAAGCTCTGCTGAGTTAAGCCGTGCCTATTTAGGCAGCATGATGTCTCCAGCATGCTGAGCAGAGCTAAGCCAAGCTGTGCCAAGCTGAGCTGTGCCTGTCTAGGTGGTATCCTGTCCTGACCTGTGCCAAGATGGGCCGAGCTGTGCTGTACATGGCATGATGTCCCAAGCTGTGCTAAGCCAAGCCTGAGCTGTGCCTACCTGGGTGTCCTGAGCTGTGCTGAACCGAGCTGAGCTGAGATTAATTGCACCTATGTAGGCGGCACAGTGTTCTGAGTTGAGCTGTGCTGAGCTGAATTGCGCCTACTGAGGTGCCACAATGTACTGAGCAGGGCTCAGCTGAGCTGAGCTGAGCTGAACCAAGCCAAACTGTGCCAAGATGAGCTGTGCCTTAACTGGGTAGCATCATGTCCCAAACAAGACTGAGCCATGTTGAGCAGTGCCAAGCTGAGCCAAGTTGTGTCACTGAAGTAGCAAAGTCCTGAGCTTAGCTGAGCCGAGCCAAGCCAAGCCAAGCCAAGCCAAGCCAAGCCAAGCCAAGCCAAGCCTGGCACATCATCACATCCTGACCTTAGCTGAGCTGCACTGTGCTTGTCTGGGTGGCATCATATCCTGAGCCATGCTGAGCTGAGTTGAGCTGTGCATATTGAGGTGGCATGATGTCCTGAGCTGTACTGAGCTGAGCTGTGCCAAGCTGGACCAAGCTGAATTGTAACTACTTAGGYGACAAAATGCCCTGAGTAGGGCTGAGCTGAACTAAGCTGTGCTGAATCGAGATGAGCCATGTCTACTGAGCTGGCAAAATGTCCCGAGCTGTGCCAAGCTGAGCTGTGCCTACCTGGGTGGCATCATGTCCCAAGCTGAGCTGAACTGAGCTGAGCCATGCCAGACTAAGCAACACTGAACACACACCTACCGAGGCAGCACAGTATCCTGAGCAGGACTAAGCCAAGCCAAACCATGCCGAGCCAAGCCGAGCCAAGTCAAGCCGAACCGAGCCGAGCCGAGCCGAGCCGTGCCTACCCAGGCAGCACGATGTCCCGAGCCGTGCCGCGCAGTACCGCGTCAAGCCACACCGAGACGAGCCGTGCCGTGCCGAGCCGAGCTGCGGGTACCAAGGTGCTCCGCCTCCTCCCCTCCCCGGCCGCCAGTGTCGGTGCCGGTCCCAGTGCCCGCGGCTCCCGGTGCCCGGCGCTCCCGGTGCCCGGCGCTCCCGTCCCGCCCGGCTCCCATTGGC